TTTTTTTAAACCAAGACCTATCGATCGATGTTATTCTTTTCCACTTTATCAAAGAGATCTTCAGCTTCAAATCTAACAAAATTTCAGAAGTCTATCAGAATAGCAACACATTCTTCAAATCAGAGTCTATCTATCTACTCTGCTGTCTGCCAAGTGCCTGAAGAATACTTTCTGCATTGCCAGTTCCTGACAGAGCGCATCTGTGCTGTCTCTTAATGAATCCAGCCTTGAAATCTCAGCAGAGGTACTACCTGTCTTAAAATTTTTTACCTCATCTTCTAAAATTATTAGATGAAAGTATGTGAAGGCAAAGGTGTCAGAGACGAGCAAACAAAAAGAAAAAAACCCAAAGCACTTCACAAGAGGCTTATTAAGAATAATTACAGCTAAACTGCCTTCTCAAGAATCCCCACAAAATATTACTTAATTAATTTTAAAATGCAGCTCATCTTTAACAAAAATAATCCTCCCAGGAAATTCTGAACACAGGAGAGTTCAGAGGAAGCTGGTAAATGAAACAGAATGCAACTTGAAATATGGCTCTGAACTTTTTGAATTCAACACTGAAACCAAGAACTGTAGAACTAAAAATGACCATACCAGAAAACTGAGAGCACAGCATCTCACTTCCACATGAAATTCTTTCCACTCTAACCAAAGTATGTTTTCTAAGCCTACATCCAAAGCTCAAAAAAATCTATCTATCCTGTCTTCTAAGGAAATTAACTCACCCACATAAAACATTTTCTGCTCTCCCATTTTATCCCAGTGACTACAGCACATTATGAACACAGGTAAGAAAGAAATACTTTTTCACACTGCCCTAAATACTAATCAAACTCTAGAAATTAACAACAGCAAGTGACATCACCAGAATATTTAACACTGAACTGCCTGGAAGACACTCATTCATGCACAACCTCTCACTAATCTTAAGTGAATTTTTCCACCACTCTACATGATGTCTTTACCTTCGTCTGAAGCCATTACTTCTTATTCAGGAAGGAAAAGGAAAAAAGAGATTAAGAGTAACTCTTGTCATTTGCCTACATTTTATTATTTATCAGAATGTGAGGGAAGATAAAAACATTGTCCACTTAACTCAGAAATGACAGCAAGCTTAACTTCAGTGATTTCAGTGTCTGCACTTTATACTTCACTGTTTATATCCTATTTCTACGACCAATGTCTGGAACCTGCTTGCAATTTCCTAGTTTCTCTCCCAGTTTCTTTTAGTTTCTCTTTTCTTTGTGATTACTTTCCCAGATAACAAACTACTTTATTATTTTGTCTTGCCAACCTTAAATCTTGTATTTGATGCCTGCAGGTTTATATCAACTGCTGATCTGGAGGTTTCAGATCAATTGATACCACTGACATCCTGAGAACAAGCCATCTCTACAGCACTGGCTCAGACTGGATACTATTAAGGTTTAAAAAAACCCCAGGTCCTTTTGAAGGTTTCTCTTGCACTGGCTTAAGAGAATTAACAAAAATCGATGACAATGTTATCCTTCTACAATATACTTAATGTGAAGATTTTAAGAGTAACTTGTACACTTTTCTGACTGAATTTCACATCACCACCTAAAAACCAGTGCTGTTTGACTGCTACACAGCCAAAAAAGTTAACAGAAGTGATAGCAACCTTTCCAAGAAACTTCTGGTATAACTGTTACAGCATTGTTGCTGCTTCAGAGACATGTTAAAACTGGTGCTTTCCACACCATCCACAAGGCTTAAAGAGACTTATGTCTTCAGATTTGGAATATGAAGTTGACACTTTTAGCTGAAAATTCTTTTTGCATGCTTAACGCCTGAGGGCTTCTCTAGTTAATATTAATGAAATCATGTTCACCTCTACCAAATAAATACTGAATACAGCAATTTTGTTTAATGTATTAATGGCAATCTAACATTTAAACATGCATTTTTATTTTTGAAAATTCAAACCTGAAAGCCTCCAGGTGTTACACTAGAAACTAAATGAGAATACTGAGAGATTCCTTGGAGAATTTACGCTCATAAAGACTATCAGACTATCTGTTTGCATTATAAACATTCACATAGGCACAGTCTAGATATGCAGAATGCAAAGAATAATTTCCAACTGGAGCAAATGCCAGTTTTAAAAGTATGCAGAAGACACCCACTGTTAGAGCAAGGGGCTTAAGTTCTAAGATTAGAGCTTATAGGATGTTGTACTGCTAATGACATTTCAAAGGAAACAGCGCTGATTCCCCACTTTTTGTAAATAACCTGTATCTAGGCAATGAAGCTTCCAGTATTACAGCAGTGGTCTGGATTTTTTTCCCCAAATTCTACTGAATGGCTACACGATTTTAAGACTTTACCACTTCATTTCCCATTAAACTGTAAAATAAGCAAAGCATTGCCTACCTTTTATAGCATCCCTGGCCTGAAGTATTCTACATCAGTAGGAAGTATTATTTTTAGACTCTTCTAAGTGAGATTTGTCACCACTCTAAATCCTCCTAGAAGTCTGGATAAGAAGAAATCACCTGCCCACCCTTCTTAGTTTCATAAGAGATTTTTTCTCATGATGCTTTCCAACTAAACTGAACCCTCCAATGCCTTATGATCTTATGAAGCAATTTCAGGATCCTAAAACATTAGGCATGATATTATAGACAAACAGCTAGAGAGGTCAACACACCCATATCTCTCTCTATAAGGAGAACTGCCACCTTAACACTGTAAATGCTTCTCTGAAGAATCCTTTCTTCTATCTGCTGCACACTGTTTTGGAAGTTCTTCTACTGCTGCCTTTAGAAAAGCCCCCAGAAAAGTGTCAAATTTAATTCAGTTCAGAACATATATAAATGCACTTTCTACATAAAGTCCCAAAATACACATAAAATGCTGTAATGTGGATCCATGAAGCCAGGCACAAACCAGTTCCTGGGTTTCTTTTCCATCATTATACAGCACCTACAACACATTAGTGGATAGGCAAGAGGGAAAAAAAAGGGAAAAAGTGTAGCTCCAAAGCATCTGTTAAGGGTGATTCCCATTTCCTCTATATAGCTGCTAGCCTTACAAGCAATTATTTTGAGGCCAAGAGCAGAAAATTCTTACTGTTATCACAGATCAGTGAGTTCTGCAGGTTAATCATATAGTGTCAAAACTTGGGTTTTGGTTGGTTTTGTTCTTTTCTAACGATTTTCCACTATTTGGGACAGTTATTCATGGGGAAAAAAAATTATTAAACTAGGTATATGTAAACTCACACTGCATTTTTTTCTTCATATAGTTTCACTAATTTATTCTCCTGGGTATTGACTGCACCAGAGTTATACTTATTTGCTGACAGCTGTGCTGGAGATAGCTGTGATTAGTAAAAGTGAAGGCTATTCCATTTTGGAACAAGGATATGTTATCAATCCCAACAGCTTCTGTGTCTCACTGAAGTAAGAGATTTCATTAGCGTGCTTACAGAAGATAGAGGGCCAACAACAGATGTAATTAAGGCAAATCCACAGTATTTTAAGATCAGCTGAAAGAGGACAAGAAAATTTTAAATCTTTATTGATATGTCATTACCCAGTTTTTTAAAACAATCTCCAGATATAAGTCGAATATAATAAGCACATAAGAGTTCACCTCTTAATACAAAATTTTGTACTCATATGCTTATATGAGTATATATGAGTCATCCTTATACTGCCCCTTTTCTTCTCTCATCTGTTGAGCTTTGACCAGTAGTTTCAATCAAGCCCTCCACTACCACATTCAGGTTTTATCTTGATGCACAGCACAAAAATTACCAACAGAGATTTTTACAATATATATTCCTGGCATCTATCTTTTGTCATAGCAGCAGTGAAATGCTGAATGGATTGCACACAAAAATTGAGATCAAGGTCATCAAAATAAATGTTCATCCTCACAAAAGGCTGTATTACATTTTTGATGTAAGGAGGAAATATTATGTGTATAACTAGACAATGAATTAAAAACAAAGCAAAATGGAGATTTCCAGTAAACTCTGAGATGGGATGTAAGTAGAAAAATATTCTGCTTGAATCCTAAGAATCTACTTCAAAATGCAGTAAAAAGACCGCTCAGGCAAAATGTTCTTTTCTATCCAAATATTCATGCTTTAGGAGGAAAAAAATAAATTAACAGAAAATAATCACAAACTCCTTAATAAATGTAGCAGCAATATGTCTCCTAACCCTTAGCTAGCAAGCTCATGAAGTCTGGATTGAGTACAGCTCAGTTCAGCCATGCGCCCAAACTGAAGGCAAAAGAAACCTACGAGAGAAAGTATATCAAGCTGTAATTCCAAATAAATCTCCTTCAAAGTTTATCCAATGCTATCAGAATTTTCACGCTTGACAAATCTGGGATTTTTCCCAGCTGCCAAAAAAACCTTACATTAAAAACAAAAGCAGGAATTTTACCGGATCACGGTCACACAAAGCAGTGGCAGTGCCACCACAGAATACGCCATATATGGGAACGTGGTTTCAAGCAACCCACCGGTTACAAGCATTAAAAGATTAAAGGTGAGTGTCCAAACAACTAGCAGCAACACGATCCCATAAAACAGATGTATTTTCTTAGAATCTACTCTTTAGAAAAGGTTCACCTTAAGAACAGGTTACAATACCACTTTCAATTCAAATACCTCATCGGTATCACAGTTGCTGCCAGGACGGCATAAAGGCTGAAAACCTTGACAGTTCTTGCCCAACCTTTGTTATTACTGCTTTTTCTAACCTCTTCACTCACTATCTGCTAACAGGTAAACTTTCTATCAGTTTGAAAATTATATGCTCCTTCTCACATAACAATTTTCCTTCACAGGCAACTGAAGAGAGTCTAACATTAAAAGGAGAATTGTTAGCTTTAAAAAGCTCTTGATTTCCAAAGTTTGTGCAACAGCTTTCTTGATCAAAACCTCTATACTTCTTTTCTTCCCACACTAATACTCCTCCCTTCCCCCAGATTTGGAAGACTCTCTGATTGCTTACATTTCCTTTGTTTTATTTGAATCTCATTTGATCCGCAGCTTGAGGAGAAAGAAGAATAGGCTTTCTCAATGCTCTGTTAGGGTTCTCTTTACTCGTGCCAATAAGGGGAGCTTTGCTACAGTCTGCCTGGTTTCTTTCTTTGCCCTGAAGAAAGAAAAAGTTTGAGTTATATTACCTTCATTCAAAAACCCTGTAACAGGCTTCCCAGCATTTGTTAAGCTGGGTTGGTTGGTTCTAATGAAACTGAAGAAGTATCAAACTAATTCTTATGATAAATTTAAAAAATAATCTAAGATAAATAACAGAGATCATTACACGTAACTTATCAACATGAGTTTTAAACCATTGTTTTCTTCTCTTCCACCATTATTCACAAAGGACTTTCAACAAAACAGCATTAAAGAAGGACATGCACAAAGTAAAAATCACAGCTGTTTCTGGTTTCACACACACACAAACCTTTCCACCCAGATACACTGTGTATCATTACAGACTGTATAAAGTCTTCAAAGCAGTGCCATTTTCTTGGAAACAGTCTGACAAATTCCATTTGAAAACATCAGCACAATTCTGGGAAAATAATTAACTGTTCTGCAGAGTGTTTCTTAAAAAAAACCCACCCTATGACAATATTCCAAGAGATCATTAGAAGGAAGCAACTTGATTTGGGAAAGGTTGTTTGATCCTGGAACTTTCACAGGCACAGAGAAAAAGAAGAAAATAGTCTGAAAGCATAATACAAATCTTTATCAGTGTCTATCAATGTGCATTCCTAAATGTGATAGTAAAGTTCAGATGCAACAAATACCACGACAGTGCCCACACCATCGAAGTCCCTGCAGTCTCTCTCATATTTACACATCAAGGCCAATATTTTGTAACCACGCAGCAGTAACCTCACCTGGCCATTTACAATATACACTCAAACCACGTTTTACAAGAATTTCAGTTTCTCAGCTCTTGCCAACAAAGTTTGCATCCACCTACCACAGAGTGCCACAGCGTCAGTGAACTCTGACAGATGTGAGCAGCTATTCCGTGGTGCCAGGGCAGAGGTGATGTTCCCAGGTGACTCTAAGCAGACCAGCACCAAGGGCCCAGCTCGGCAGCATGCTCCCAGCTGTCATCCTGCACAGAATGCTGCGAAGATGGGTCAGCCTCAGCAGTTACACAGAGCTGGTTACGGAAGGTCAGTCAGTCACAGAAAGGCTTACCTGCCACTCAACGCGCTGGGCTTTCATTCACGTTGCCACAGCTAAAGCATGGGAACTTTGTAACATGAGACCAAGATAACATTTATCTAGTCAGGAGAAATGCCATGAACTTCCACAGCTATAAATGAGTAATTTTGTGTGGGTTTCTGATTTTTTTTCTTTTTTTTTAATCTTAGTCACATGCTACAATTCACCTTTGGTCCTCAGGAGGTAGAAAGGAAAGGCTAATGCTACTAAAAGTAGCAGACATCCTATTTTCCGTAATTATATTAAGTAACATGCTAACGACTGGTTACAGATTCTGGCAAAAGAAACGCTGGCCAAGGAAAGCCCAATCTGGCTCATTCTAGAAACACAGTAGACGGAAAAATAGCCCAGCAGTGAGATTTATCGAAAACGACAGGAATAAGTGCTTACTCATACAAAAAGGAGATCTGCAACTGTACAACACTTTCCCCACCAGAACAGTATATAAATTACAAATCAGCCCATAATTCCTATAGATGTCACAACTGAAGTAAAATTTCTGTACTAAACATTTATACAGTACATCAGCAAGACACCGAAGTTCCAAAACTTGTAAGCTCCCATCCCGAGTTCAGACACCAATTATGTCGGCTAATTCATTTGAATTCTTAGCTATAAATCTGAATTTAGCACAGGGAGTTTTGCACGTTCAGCCTCTCCTTTTCCTCCCAATGCACCAACCAACCCCTTCCAAATCACAGAGAATTCAGGCGCCTCCAAAGTTTCACTCTTCCTGAACAAGTGCACTCCACAGCTGAACAGCAGCATTATGACAGCGCTATACCCTTAAAATTCTGTTATTAAAAAAACCCCAAAGATATCGATAAGGCAGAGAAAGGATCAGGTTTTTAGCTCTTAAGATTAACATAAAAAGAGGAACATTCCCAGAACATTGTTCTTGAAAATAATTCCTTATTATATTGGATAACCAGAATGAAAACTGACTAAAAAAAAATCTTTTAAAACATATGAAGTACAAATAACTGTTTCTTAGCTTTAATATACTAGATAATTCACGGAATTTATTACAAAGAATTTCAATGAGTTACAAGCAATAAAAAAGGTAATCAAAACTTTTACTATCCAACAAACACAGTTATTGTTGCATGCTACAACATGCAGAAATTACTTCCATTATCCTTTATATGTTAGGCAACAAAAAGCACCTTACCTTATTCTCCACTCTCTGAGCACAGAGGATTAAAAACAAAAGTATTAGGCAGAAACTGCAGGTGTTTTGTCAAGAAAAAAACCCAAACCACTGCATCAGTGAACTTAGTGGCTGTCCAGCATGCCATGCACACTCTAGGGACGTTTAATGAAATCTTATCCACATCCTTTTTTGCAAGCATTCAGATTTCCGAACTGGAAACCCAAAGGCAGCCTTTCATTACCTCCTCCAAAAATGCAGATCTCAGCAACACCAACACTGTAAGAGGAGCCACCATAGCTTGATTTTCCCTCCTAGTAATTCCTTTCTTGCCAACCACTGCACTGCAGTCTTTCTGAGGGCTGTGTAAAATGCAAACGGGGGAGGGCTGAAAGAGCCCAGGAAAGAAATACAGCTACAGGAAAGTTCACTCAAATCATCTCATGTCTTTCTAGTTGTGGGTTGAAAGGAAGGAACTGCAGAGTTTGGTGGGTTCTCTTTGCCTTCTCTCTGCTGTTCCTCCTCTCACGCTCCTGACTATTTTTTACTTCATTTTTCATAGGATAATTTGGGGATAGTAGGCAAAACTGCAAGGAATTGGTGGAAGATAATAAATAATTTTGTTTCTTTACGTTACATTAAAGCTACCTTTTATTCTCATAACCATAACATTTTAAGGAATTTTTTAAAAAGTCTTTTAAGGTTTAGGGTGTTTGGGGATTTTCTAGGTTCAGGGAGGGGGAGTGATGCTGGTGGATTTTTTTTTGCCTTTGCTGCCTAAATCAAGGAGTTTAGTCAATTAACTACTTAGCACTTGGATGCTTTCCCTATACAATTAAAACTGCTGTGATTACACGGCAGCAGCATTTGTGGGACAAGTGCCCAGCAGGGGCATTTGTAATTATTTCCCAAGTGTTCCACAACAGCAGCTAAAGACTACATCTAAATATTAAAGAAGCTTTCACAGAAGGGCAGTGGTTGGAAGGGACATCTGGAGACCATCCAGTCCAACCCCTCTGCTCAAGCAGGGTCAGACAGAGGCAGCTGCTCAGCACAGTGACCCGTTGGGTCTCGAGTACTTGCACAGAGAATGACTCTACTACCACTCAGGGCAGCCTGTTGCAGTGTTTGAACACCCCCAGGCAAAAGTTTTTCTTGTATTCAGACAGATTTTTTTTTTTTTTTAATTAATGCCCATTGCCTCTCTGGACACTAAGAGTCTAATTTATAATTTGAGTAACCTTTTTTTTTTTTCTCTCTCCCCCTGCGCCCCAACTTCTTCATTCTCCACAGCTGTGTTTAAGAGGAAAGGGAGCAACAATGAGCCCTCAGTGTCAATCAGCCAGTTGTTGGCTCATTTGAAATAATAGGCTCATCACTGCTTTCCACCCCTCCTTCCCTCTGCATCCTGCAGAGCCAGGCTCAAGGCCAGATCTTTTAGCTCATCGCAGCCCAGCTGCCTACCATTAGCAATCTATTATTCCTGGAGATCCAGGTCCTTCTTTGGGGAGGATCTTGCCCAATCTTCTCTAGTTGGGCCTCACAGGAGCATTAGGCAGGGCTGAAAACACGCTGACAACGACATGGAAAGCTCAGAAACCTCCAGCAGCTCTTTGGCACCTCCCCACCTTCTGCTGCAGCCCCCAGGAGAGGGGCAGTAGCCAGCAATCAGAGCATGGTATATGGGGATAAGCAGAAAGGAAATGAGAGAATTTAGAGGTAGATGCCTCCTTTGGGGATTTGACCCAAAGCATTGCAAAGGCTGGCTGGTTTTAGTGCCGTGTTTTCACAAGGTTTACCTTTTCTTTAAAAGGCCAACATAATGGGCAACATAGATGCAGACTCAAAGACACAATGAACATAACTACCACCCACTCCCCCACTAACAGATGGGAGGAAGATTAATTTCTCACTGCTATGCACAAGTCCTTTGCTTATTCTTCACAGGGGTTCCCGAATTTCCATTCACTAAAACAGTAGTTTTACAATTTTTCTTCTAACATGGCTTAGTTAACACTGAAATTCCTGTAATTGACAATATATACTCAGTTTAGGCTCCTAAACAAAGTTTTAATTAGTTTTATTTTAAACTTGTCTCTGTTGAAAATAATTTATCACTAAAGGTCATATGCAGCTTCAGGTATCTTCCCTGGTTTGCGGACCACATCACGCACCACATTTTAAAAATATGATCACGGATTTGAAAAAGGGAAAAGACCTGTTGGCTTTGAAACAGAAGAAAAAAACCAAAACCATCAGCAAAGCTATCAGACTTTCTGCATGACTTAGAGCACTTCTGTATATTTCTGTTCTCCCTCAGTGAGGAGCAGATCCCCTTTCTCCGATCTTACCTGGATGCCTACCAAGTTCCCATCTCTTCACATACTTGTACATGGATTACCTTGTACAATAGGACTCCAGTCTTAAGCTGGGAACTGCCAAAAGTGAAAAAAATAACTAAAAATAAGGAATACACAAACATAATTGTAGCTTGATAAAGCTGGGAAGAAGGAGGACCAAAAACATCCCTTTCCCCTAAAAACCAAACTTAAATGATAAAATAAGATCTCTAATTATTTTGTGGTTTCTGCAGTTAGTCTAAGACTAGCATCTTAACACTTCTTAACCTATCCTGCTTCAGGACAGTGAGAATTATTTGAAGACAGTCTATTTGCTTTCTGGCTGGCATTCACACACCAGGAACTGGTGTGCACACTGCACTTCTCAGGAAAAAAAAATGCCAAACACCTAGCAGTAGGTTAGAAGACATGGCCAAGCTAAAAAATCTTGCACAAAGATATCAAGTCTGCTTCAAAAATGGTTCACAGTGCAGAGTGGAAAGGTGAGAAAGAGAAAAGGCCAACAGAGTATCCAGTCATTCCAGCAGACTGTTTCCTCTTCCTGCACTCTTCAGATGCTACATCTAAATCACAACCTAGAAAGGACTTGTCATACTGTTATGTGAATCTACAAAAAGAACTTATTGTGACAGAAACATGAACTTCTGTATATGAACAGCATCACTAATTCACATAATTTATTACTGACAAGAAGTTCTTAGTCACAGTGCTTAACACATTGTCCAGTATTAGCATACTAAAAAGCTTATTTTTGTCCATTTCCACACAAAAGAGCCTCTCTACCTTCCAGCTTTATAAAGTTGCACCTGTTCTGAGCAACAGGCCACGGAGTAGACCCAGAGAATCACCTGCTGCTACTCTCCAAAGACACAACCCCCATCACTCACCTGAAGGATTGATGAATTTCGTTCATGTCAAGAAGTTGAAAGGGGCACGTTTCACTTCTTTTATCCATTCCTAATTTAAAGCTTAAACTGAAGGCAAACAGGACTAACTTTTTTTTTTTTTTTGTAGAGGCATCATTTCCTTTCAAACTCCAGAAAAAGCAGAGTGGAACAAGGAAGGAAAGCACAACCCCAAGCATATTTAATGTACTGGTTAGAAGATTTGAGATGTTTTCTCCTCTTGCAACTAAGGTATAATGTAGTTTTCCAAATTAGGTTTGGCTGACTGAGGTAACTGGCTACCACCTATGAGTTCAAATCATATTTTTAGTCTATTTGAAATCAAAAATCTGAAGGAAATATTTTTTTTTTTTTTGGCAGGGGAGGAAATGGAGATAATAATTTGCTTACCTTCCTTGCAAATACAACTGATTAAACAAACAAAGTATTTATAAAAAACAAGCCTCCATATACTATCATGCAACTTAAGTCCATCAGGCAGAGAATGAAGAACTTGCTAAATAGTCCATTCTGATTGTGTGGAAGACACAGAACAAGAAAGAACAAGGCTAAAAGAGGGTTTACTTACAGAAATGAGAATGAAACTTGTTTTGACTTTTGAGGTATAACCCCCATTCATAACTAAAACAAGTCCAGGCACTGAAGACGATTTGTAAAATTAATACCATCAACTTAAAGATATCAAAACACAAAGGAGAGCAAGGTACTTTACAGTTTCATGCAATGATACAAATACTTCCAAAAAAGAAAAAAAAAAAGAAAACCCCAACAAAAAACCCCAACTCACACAACTATCATGAGGTTTCTAAATGTACATATTAAAAATATATACAGCAGAAGAATTGTTCCTACCTACCTGTTTACATGAAAAAAAGTCACAACACAAACCCCAGTGACACACAAGACTGCAGTCTGTGCTTCCAATAGATTAATATATTGTTTCCCACTGCTGAGAGCTGGTCTTGATTCAGTTAAAGCCTAAGCACTCAGGCTTTCCTGCTGGGAAACAAACAAGTCAAGTCGGTTTCAAGCATCTCCTATTAACATACAAAAACAATTCTCAAAAGCCTGAAGGCAGAAAAGTGAAATAGTAGGTTAAGGTTGCATCAAACCATAACAAACTATAGCAAATCAAAAAGCTGCACTGAGATTTACTAGTTCACTAGAAAATTGCAGAAGCCTATTTACCTCATGGAGGAAGTCACCATTACCACCACTTAGTGAGTCAAGCTAATCTACAAGAATGTTTTACATAATGGGAAAATTTTTATTGGCCAGAGGTTCAGAGTGTTCTAAAATTTCCAGAAACTGCAGATGTAAAGATACTTCTGTTAACCTAAACCAAAACCAAGAAAAGAAACTATCTGAGATGCATGCTCCATTTCACAACACGGGTCTAAATTTACTGGCTACTGTACTTCAACCTTTTCAGCACAGAAACAGTTTACATTCCGATATTAAAGAATGGAAATGCCAACACTGAAAGCAGAGGGGGTTTTTAGACTACCATCAAATGGTATTAAAACCTATTAGCCAACATAAAATTTTGGCCAGCCCATCACTGCCATTTCTGAACGGTGGCACTAAGAACTGAAGACGTTTAAACAACCAGTTTTATTCCTGTTGAAAATTACTAGTGAATGTGTAGTGAAATATGCTAGTGAATGTACTAGTGAAACAGTCAGAATGGATTTACAAGAAAGCACGATACCATCTTATTTCTTCCATTTTCACTTTACCTTTAAAAGCTAACAAGAGAGCCAAGAATCCCTGCAGTCAGCCAGTAATGAACTGAAATGCGTTCTTTGCTTTTTCTAGCAATGAAAATATGCTGCAATACAACTACAGCATAAAATCCAGTTCACTCATACAAAGTAAAGTAGCTTCAATGAAGGAATCTTTGCTCAGTTTTCAGAGGGGTGATAACAGCCTAAGGGTTACATGTCAAAATCAAAGAGTAGATTCAGAACATCTCACAGATCATATTTTTCCTCTTTTTCTCCTAAAAATTATTTAAAATTTAAAAATGCAGATTATGTTTTAGTTGCTGCTTTTAAAATACTTTCAGTGCTACTTAAGAGTAAGTATTTTCATTATACAACTTTCTGAAAGTTGGAAGCTGAATAAATATTTTGAATGAATGTCATGGATCACAAATGCACAATTATTAGAATTAGAGTTTTAAAAGAGACTTTAAATTACACAGCTGATCGTAAACTAAAGCCTACTATGTAAAGTCTCAAAAGCGCAGAGACCGCATTTGTTTTAGTACTGAAGAAGTATAATTCTCTCACCATGACAGTGCAATAAAACTTTCCTAGCAGGCCACAAAGTATTTGGGGGTCACGTATCATTAGAAGCTCAAATTCACAGAGTTAAGTGCATCTTTTGCCAACCCCTGGTGCTGAGGCTCCATAAAACGCAACATATGACCAACGGTTTCTGTGGTCCTTACTTTTTTTATTCTACTTTTGGTGATGTAAATCCTTTATAAAGCATTCTGTCCTACTGAAACATTCTCATCTCCCCACAGTACATCAAGGCATCCCATCTCACTTCCCTTCTCGTAGACAAATTACTTTTTCTATGTATTTGCCAGGAAAAGTCACGTTGATGGCAACAGAAGAACAAATGTGAATCGTCTTCAGACTCTAATATGTATATGCTTCTTTTTAAACTGAAACCTAGTGGCAGCTGCCTCCGCTGCACAACAGAACCAACCTGTAATTATGGAGAAAGAAAAGAGTGCACACAAAACAGAAAACAAAAAACATGTTTCTTTCTTTTAGCTGCTGATGCACTCATTCTTCTGAAGGCCCAAATTCTCCCCCTGGAGCACACAGACCGAGACAAGCGATATGGCTGCACTGCTCGAGTAAAAAGCTGTAACGGGAAAAGCAACCTCTTGGGTCCTCAGGACAGTAGTTCCCAAAGCGTCCACCAGTTCACAGGGAAAGCAAACAGTAGCACAGCTCTAAGTTCCCTGGGATAGCTAAACACTTCCACTCACCTGCCACTAGACTTTTCTGATCAGTCTTGACTATGCTGTACTTAACGTGGACTTCACCATCTTTATCCACACGCGGAGTATCAGCTCTCACCCTCCATGAGCTGGCAGGCTGCACTCCCTGTATGCTTTATCAAAACAACCACAGCCAGAAGAATACTGGCTTTGTGGCCTGCCTCAGGTTTTCCACCTAAGGCAATTGCTGGACTTCAAATCTCAAGAGGAAGCACAGCTCTTCCTAGAGTGTCAGGCATCTGGAAATCATGCTGGAGCAAGCCTAATCTGCTGCTTTGCAAGACAGCCCTACAGAGCTCAGAACCCTTGGAGCTACTGTTGTGAGCTAAGGTCACACCATAAAACCCATTGCCTCAATTCAGATAAGAACATAATGGCAAAGAGGCCTCAGCAGGTCCTGCCTGACACTATCTCCACGTGGTTCAGGGAAGAATCTCAGTACAGTAATCCAAAACACCAAACTCACAATGTAAATTAAAAACAAAACAAAAAACAAATCAAACAAGAAATAAAATAATAATTAAAAAAAACCTGACCAGGGGCAAAGGATGGATTAGAAAAATAAATCCTTCCAGCAGCAGTAACCAACAGCTGTGTTCCAGCCTATAGTCCTAGATCTTTGGTGCATGAGGAAAAGGAGAGGATGAAAGCAGGCAGAACACCACTACACACCTGAAAGACTCCTATTTCTGTAAAGGAGACTTGTGTCCTTCTACAGTGCTCTGCCTGCAGGCATAAGAAGACAAAGCCCCGTGTCATATATTGGCTCCCAGACTTTACTCCTCCAGTCTAACTATCCACGAGTCAGAGCACAGACTGGAGACAACCCTGAAGCCTTCTATGTTCAGACAACCACCAGAAACAATTACATTTGGGCAAATTGCAGCCAGTTGGTTACTGATTTAAAATGTGTCACATCCCAACATCTATTTCCCCTATGAATTTCTCCCTTGTTCCATACTGGTAGTGGATCTGTTTTATCAGTAAACACAATGCTGAAAAGTCATCAGCGTAATATCAATTCTCATCCTCCTGCTTTTACAAAGTTAGCTAGTTTGGACTGTCTAACTAGTTCTGCCACAGTCACAGCAAAGCTGAAATACTGTCAAAGAGGACCTAATGACCATACTGAGTACCTGCAGAAACAATGACCCCAGTCTCATTCTAATTAGTGAAAACAGGTAAATACTCTACACCAGCTTAGAACAGTGGGAGTTGAACTCTTCTGTACCAATATTCAGCCCTTATACATTGGCCTCTTTATTCCTGCAGTGAAAATCTGGACACGTAAGGCTGTGGTAGGGAAATGGCATCTCAGAAGTCACTTGTATGCAAATATTAAAGCTTTCTTAAAAACGTTTCTATTTACGGGAAAGTAAGTGGAGACCAGAAGAGCAGAGAGAAACAACTTCAGTTTACGGAGTGTATCATACAGGCTCAGGGAGTCCTAACGGGGAATAAGGCCAGATAGAAATGTTATTAAAACAATAAAAGCTCTTCTTTCTATTTTACTTATTGTATGTAATACTTGGCAATAGGCTCTGATGCCTGAGCCCTGGTGACTAACTGCAGCATTGAGATATTGGTACATCTTTATTTGGCCTCCCCATCTCTTCCTTGGAATTTACTATGCTTGTGGCAATAACAAAAAAAAATAAATCCAAAATCATGACTCCTTGGTTTTTACAGTTCACTTCACAACATCGTACAATATAAAACTCGTGTTCAGTGATGACTTAAACTCTACTCAAGGTACAAAGTGAGTTCCAGCACTCTGCAGCTCTGGGTCTACTCTAAGAGTGAAGGAGATGCACTATTCCATTTCACTGCTGGTAACAGCACTGAGACTGACACATCACATCTAGTCTTAATATCAGGTTCAAGCATTTCATTTAATAACTCAAGACAGGCATCCATATTTATTATCAAGAGCTTTCCTGTATGTCAATCAATTCTTACACAGAAGTGCATGTCCCACAAATCTTTCACAAATGATACTTCTGCAAATAAAATCCATCATTTATGCCAAATCTCATGTTTGATCATTTGTTTATTTACTACTTTTTTTAAAAACAGAAATATATTTCACCACTCCACTCGCTTTCAGGTGGGAGTGTCACAGTACTGCTCTTATCGCTCCCTAGGCCTCCCCTCATTACCTTCTTCACCTGAAAATAAAGACACAATCTTAATACACTACAAGATGTTGTCACTTCTTCCCTGACTATCCTTACTATGCCCTCTCTGATCAACATGCCTTTGGGACATGCTGTTGATGCCATTTTGGCTGTAGGAACAACAGTTATTCCTCGATCTGGAATCTAAGCACAGCAAAATGCAACAACAAATTCTGTTAATTGCCAAGTTCAGCCTGTAAACACAGAGGTAGTCTCTTAACGAGTAGAAAGTCAAGGTAGGAGGGAAGAAGCAAGGCTAGGTTTTGTTAGTATTTAAAGATCTATTTAGGGAGTGTAGAATACTATCACCCTTCTGTCTGTACACCATCCTAAGGCAATGTTAGAATCATTCTATTCAAGGTGACCAAGCACAACTTTCTCTCTGCCTGATTCATTCCCACCTTTGGCTTTGGCCTCACTCAAGAAGCCAATCACGTAACCAAGGAATGACAAGTTCACATTTGATACGAAGTCGTATGGCTGGATGACATCACAGCCGCTATCTTTTAATTGCCCCTTTGAGGGTTATTATTAGCAAGCTGCAAGTTATTATTAGCAAACTGATAAAACACTAATGGCCAAGTTCTCTCACACAACAGCTTGTCCATTTCTCCAGTTATCACATAACTGATAAGTTTCCCCATTTGAGCTATTCCCACAGACCAAGGAGAATCATCACCCTGCCTGTTACTTCAATCTGCTATATTTTGAGGAACTAACAGCATCTGACAGTCACACATTTTAACCCTGGCCAAGGTTAGAAAGTCACAAAAGATTTTTTGCAAAACCTCTCAATTTCT